AAACGAGCTGAGTTTGTGGCATCTCCTTCTGCTGCCATGAAAATTGCTGTCATGTCACAGACTAAGCTCTGCAGCTTTGCTGCCAGGTTAAGCAGGAGAAGCTAGACTGTGATTAGGAAAAGATCCCCAGGGGAGCAGTGCGCAGGCATTGAAGGTGAAGGGCTGGGAGTAGTAGGAGTGGCTGTATCAGCAGTGGGCTGAGCCACCTGTAAAATGGAGACAGCAGATATGCATCGTGGCTGTGCTGATGCTGTGTCATGGCCACRCACAGAACTCAGAGCAAACAGCATTGCAGCAATGCAGCTGCATCWTTGCCGTAGTGGTGGGTGGAGGAGAAACACCTTGGCTCCCACACTCTGCAGTGACCTCAGAGCATGGATTTACAGTGTGCCTTCTGCATTCCCCATGTTGGTGAGAGCAGGGTTTTTACTGTGTGCATCTTGGCACCTCATGAGCTGTTCAATGTAATACTCCCTCTCTGTTTTGCCGTGTTCCTGCTATCMCTGGCAGCCTGGAGGGAGGAGAGGRTCCCAGCAGCTTCCTTTGGCTTGAACTGGGAAGAGGTTTTGGAGTTTGCCWGGAAGAGGCTGGCAGTTTCCTGTGCCAGGCAATGCACTGAAGGCTTGGTATGGAGTCCTTGGGGCTCAGCAAAAGGAGGGCACCAGTGCCTGAGACGCCTGTCAGCTGAATGGGAAAGTGGCAGCCACCCTTGAAAGACTGACTGTATTGACACTCAGCACTCTGAGCTGATGATGACTCCCTTCCTGTTTGGGTTGTGAGAGCACCCAAGGGTCAGTGACTGGCTGAGGGTACCTCTGGGAGCTGGCCAAAGACGGTGTTCTTCCTAGAAGGGATTACAGTTGGGAAGGAGAAAGACAGACCAGCACTGCTGTGATTAGTTCAGGAGCTTCAGGTCACTCCTCCCTTCCCTCACTGCTTTCCCCAGGGCACTGCAGAGCATGTCTCTCCTCCAGCCTGGAATAGGGAAAAGAGGACTCTGGTCTCTAGTTTTTCTGGACATTTGTCACTTGGTAAGAAAGTGCAAGCAGCCTCCCTTGTAAATAATGAATGGTCTCTGGTCATGCCCAAGGAGGTTGACCTACTTCATAGAGCCTGTGTGTGCCCAGATCTGTGCAGGATTTCACTGCAGCAGGTACCAGTGACCTAAACCAGTGCAGGATCACCCAGGTGCCAGTGGCAGGGTGGCAGTGGTGCAGAGTGGCAGCATCCCTCTGCCTCCAGGCCAGCTTTGTGCCTATCCCCTGAAGCCTGTATTTAGGCTGTGGCAGGGAATGAATACTACATGTGGGCCAACCGTTTGTATGAAATTTGTTTCAAGAAGAATACAACAAATTGCTTGTTGATGGTGACCTGTGTCTCCTTTCTAGTGGTTTAGTTTTGTATAATTTTGCCAGTCTGTTCATAGAGATGCAGCTCTGTGGTTGGTGCACACAGGGTTTGGGTACTTCTGCTGTGGCTAAGGACAAGCCAGTCCTGGTCTGGAGCAGGGTGTCTGAGGCAGTGCAGGTTTTCTTGGGCACAGTGTGATGCTGAGGTGTCCACAGGGCACCCAAACTTCACCTGGGCTGCTTGTGCCCATTGGCACCATCTATACCAAGGGGCTCTGCTTTGCAGCAATCTATGATGTGTCCTACACTTAACAGCTCAATCTGGTTGGGAGAAATTTCAATAAAACTTATTTTCTTCTGAATTTGCTGATTTGCTGGAATGGAAAYGTGTTAGAGATGTTTCTACATCTCTCAGATCCTGATGAAAGCTGGGCAAGGCTCCATAGCACTGTCCCCRATGACTTGGCAGTCTCTACCTGGGAATGTGTGTTTTTTTGGCAGCTTAGTCTTCCATGACATCCTATACCCAGCACGGGGAACCTTAGCCTCAGGTGCAAGACAGCTCTTGCAACAATTCTGAATTGTTTTTATTTTCTTTTGAGGTGTAAAGAATTAAAATTTTAGAAGTCTCCATGAAGTGCAGGTTTTATTCTCCAGAATTTCTTGCACCATCCAAAATTCTGAGGAAGGCAAGATTTTGTAGCTAAATGTTCAGTAATCCTTTATGGACTGTGAGGTTTAATTTAATGGCTGACTCCATAATCTAGTGCATTTGTGTTATTTTTTTTTAAATTAGCTTGTTCTAATACTTAAATTTGTTACTTACATATGTATTTATATAGGTGAAATCATATAAAATCATTATGTTTACAGTTACCTTTCTGAAGCTATGCTTCAGATTTATTTTAGTCTGTCTTATTTTCCCTGCCTGTTACATTTGTTTCTTCTCATTATGCATCTTCTCCTGTTTTAAAAGAAACAAAATGCAGAACTTCTTGATGAGGGTGCAGATTCTTTGACWTGTTAGCAGTGACAGATGCAGTGCTCTGAGAACACTACCTACCTGTATCAGTAAGCTCATTCTTCATGTAATTGGACAATATTAATGTTTAGAAAGGCAACTGAATGAGCTCAAAAAAAGCTCACAAGATGGTGGTCCCTGCAGGTCAGCAGGCAGMGTAGTAAATCATCATAGTGAGGAGGAGCAACTGCCAGCACGTGGCAAAATCACTTATTRCTATTCTGGCTGCTGATTCACGAGTCCTGCTTCAATTACAAGTGACAGTAGAGAGGCTGGGGAGAAAACAGGGAGCCTGCTCAGGCAAATTCCAGATGGAGGACATGCATTCATCTCCATTCTCTAACGAGAGGGTGACAATGTCTGAGGCAGGTCCTGGGGACATATGTCATCACAGTTCTGTGCTTGGTTCCCCCTGCAAGGTCATGTCACTGCTGCAGCAYGTGGAGAAAAGCCTCAGACCTGCTGTGCACATACTCTTTTGTTGTGCATTGCGTTTAAAATGTCTTTCCCCTCTCTTTTTTTCACTTAAAAATGTCTGTTTCTCCTGTTTTCCCTTTTCTAGAATGATACAGAGGGCTATARAGGCTTTGAACCAGCAAAATTGCTCAAATACAAGCTAAAAAATAAATATGCAGTGTATAACAGAGAGGTTACATTGTAACACCCCTAGCTCTGCCGYAGCRCWTTTTAATRAATAAATTYTWRAAAAWWTATTCTTTTTTMTTGTCCTRGTTTTATAGATTAAGAAATGTATCAACTTGTTTGTTTTCTCAATGGGGAGCTCAGGACATTCATAGTTTATGTGCCTGAGTCATCCTGTAATTAAACCAGGAATTGAATCAGGACTGAGCAGTATAAAACATGGACAAACTGGAGATTCTGAGTTACTTTCTGGTGAGCCAAGGAAATAATTTATAATAAATGGCTTTCTTTATGTATGAATGGGAAGAAAATGTTCTGACTGCTTTAAGAGTTTTCCAGCATTCATGGTCACTTGGCAGAATTCTTTCTAAAA